ACACCAAGACACATCATAATTAAAATGCCAAGAGCAAAAGACAAAGAGAGAATCTTAAAATCAGCAAGAGAAAGACAGTCAGTTACCTACAAGGGAGCACCCATATGACTGTCAGCTGATTTCTCAACAGAAACTTTGCAGGCCAGAAGGGAGTGGCAAGAAATATTCAAAATGATGAATGTCAAGAACCTACAACCAAGATTACTTTATCCAGCAAAGCTATCATTCAGAATAGAAGGTCAGATAAAGAGCTTCACAGATAAGAAAAAGCTAAAGGAGTTTATCACCACCAAACCAGTATTATATGAAATGCTGAAAGGTATCCTTTAAGAAGCAGCAGAAGAAGAAAAAGGTAAAGATACAAATTATGAACAACAAATACACATCTATCAACAAGTGAATCTGAAAATCAAGTGAATAATCTGATGAACAGAATAAACTGGTGATTATAATAGAATCAGGGGCATAGAAAGGGAATGGACTGACTATTCTTGGGGGGGAAAGGGGTGAGGGGGATACAGGAAGAGACTGGACAAAAATCGAGCACCTATGGATGAGAACAGTGGGTGGGGAGTGATGAAGGAGGGTGGGGTGGGAGCTGGGTGGAGGGGAGTTATGGGGGGAAAAAAGAGGAACAAATGTAATAATCTGAACAATAAAGATTTAATTAATCAAACAAAAATGTTGCTTCAATGGCATGAAAGTCTTTTTTGTATCGAATTGTGACTGGCAATGAAAAGTGGATTTATTTTGAGAATCCCAAATGCACAAAATCATTGGTTGATCCAGGTCAACCATCAACATCGACTGCAAGGCCAAATCCCTTCAGAAAGAAGACAATGCTCTGCATTTGGTGGATCAGGAAGGTGTGGTGTATTATGAGCTTCTAAAACCAGGTGAAACCTTTAATACTGATTGCTACTGACAACAAATAATCAATTTGAACCACGCTTTGATTGTGAAACGACCAGAATGTGCCAGAAGACACAGCAAAGTAATTTTGCTTCATGATAACGCAACACCACACACTTCAAAGCCAGTTAAAGACACGTTAAAAGATCTTGCCTGGGAAGTATTAACCCACCCGCTGTATTCACCAGACCTTACTCCTTCAGATTCCCACTTGTTCTGATGGATGGCACACACACTTTCTGAGTAGCACTTCAAAACATACAAAGAAGTGGAAAATTTGGTCTCTGAATGGTTTGCTTCAAAACAAGAAAAGTTCTATTGGGATGGTATCCACAAAGTACCTGCAAGATGGGGAGATGTGTAGCTAGCAATGGACATTACTTTGAATAAAACGCTTTTGATGTTTCTCTTGAAATTATCGCCTTTTCTTTGATTACAAAATCTGCCATTATTAACCGGTACACCTGGTATATGAGGTACCTGGGGTAGGCAACTATCTAGAGGTGGAAAGTAGAGAAGACTTACCAGAAGCTGGAGGCAAGAGAAATGGGGAGTTATTGTTTAACTAGAGGCCTGGTGCATGATATTTGTGCACTGGGGGGGGGGGAAGGGGGGAAGGGGCCGGGGGGGGGGAGTGGCCCTCAGCTGGCCTGCACCCTTTTGCCATCTGGGAGCTCTTGGGGGATGTCCCACTGACGGCTTAGGCCCACTCCTCGTGGGCAGCCATTGCCCCTGCCCCCGCCACCATAGCTGCCCTTGCCAGCCATCAGCCTGGCTTCTGGTTGAGCGGCGCTCCCCCTGTGGGAGCACACTGACCACCAGGGGACAGCTCCTGCATTGAGCGTCTGCCCCCTGGAGGTCAGTGCAAGTCATAGCGACCAGCCATTTGCCATTCGGTCAATTTGCATATTGCCCTTTTATTATATAGAATGGGACAGAGGTTCTGTTGGGAAGATGAAAAATTCTGGAAGTGGATTGTGGTGATGGCTACACAACATTATGAATATACCACTGATTGTACACTTAAAAATGGTTAAAGTAGTAAATTTCATGTTATGTTTTTCTATCTATTACTGAATGTTTGGTCACCCTTAAATTTGCCCCTGCATTAAGCGCCTTGTTCTCCTCACTCCCATCCCCACCCTGGCACCAGCACCTTATGCACAAGATTTATGGGCAACACAAAGGAAAAAAGATCCTGTGAAGGGGGAGGGGAAAGGCAGGGTGTCAGGGAAGCCTGGCACAGGAGTTGTTACCTGAGCCCTGAAGGAAGAGGAGGATGGGCAGGCATTTCCAGTAGGAGGAGCAGCATACAGACAGCGAGGAAGGGGGATGGAGTGTGGACGCCTGGAGGAAGGCAGTGGGCCAGGGTTGCTGGAGGAGCAAGTTTGAGCTGGGGTGAGAGTAGGGTGGAGGTCACAAAAGGGGTCCGGGGCCAGCTTGGGTCAACTTCGATCTGTAGGCAGTGGTGGGACAGGGGAGGTAATACACAGAGCAAATCTTTGTTCCTAGAATGCTGTGACATGGTGTGGAGTGTAGGCGAGAAGGGGAGGAGGCCAGTTAGGATGGCAGGCTCTGCGCTGAGCACACCAGAGGTGACAGAACGGGCTGGCACAGACACCAGAGGGAAAGAGCGGAGAGGAAGGATGTGAGCTATATTTAGGAGGTAGAATGGATGGGATTCTACCCTTCGGAGCCATAGACTTTACAACTAAATAAAAAAGGGCTGTTGGTGGAGTGACTTTAATTTTGCTGAGAGGAGGCTGCCTGGTTTTGAGTTTGTTCTCTGGAAGCCACACTGTGGCTCTGCCACTTACTGACTGAGTGACTTCAGGAAAGTTTCTTGTCCTCGAGGGGCTTCAGTGTCTCCATGTGTAACAAGCAGATCATGTTACCAACCACCTCCGAGGATGATCACGCCGAGTAAAAGAGTTCCTCTTTGGGAAGCCCTTAGAATTCGCTGGGCTAATAGTAAGTCCTAAATGGGTGTTTGTAAAAATAGCAGAAATAAATAAAATACTGTTTCGGGTCACCTGTCTGAGGCATTGTCAAAAATCACCAGGATAAATGCTAGGACCTTTTAGTGTGGAGTTCCTGTTAAGTCTGGGAAGAATGCCTGGTGTCCGGGAAGACGAGAGAGCCAGGTCAATGGATATGATCCATAGAAGAGAAAACTCTGACACTGGGTCCAAGGTACAAGATGCTGCAAGTGTGTAAAGATGAAGCAAGGACTCAGTGGGGTCCAGAACTCTCAGCAGGCAGACTTCCAACTGGCAGGATGCCCGCTGCGTAGAAGGCTTGGCCACTGCCCTCTCATTTCCCGAGACAGAAGCTGAGACGCAATTCGCTGCAGGAATTTGGTGAATTGCTGGGAAAAGTTTATTGGTTTTTATCACTTTGTTTGGAGTCAGTTTCATAGAAACGACGTCATGAAGGCGTGGACACTCATGGCAGGGTCACAGTCAGTGGCTTGACCCTCTCTGCCTGGCAGGTCATTGCTTTGCACACACTCATTGCTCTGCCTGGAATCCTCGCTCACCCTGCACCCTCAGTCACTCCCGCTCCTCCTCTTGGTCTCAGTCCTAACGTCACGTCCTCAGGGAAACTGGCTGTGCCTTCCCTTCATGTCCTTTGTCACGGTTTGTAATTCATTTTTGGGATGGTTTGTATGTTGCTCATTTACCCCCCCCCCCCCCCCCCGCCCTCCCTTTGACATCAAGCTCGATTAAAGGCAGTTTTTTTGTTTTTCACCAGTGTCCCTCATGCCTACGTGGTGCCGGGACAATATAAACGCTAAATAATTTGTGGACACAATGATATTTTTGTTGAATAATGAATGATTATTCTGATACCATGCTATACACCCCCAGCCACCCAAAGGTGTTCTTGGTTTTTTGAATCCATAGGAATATGGATTTTAAATAATAAAGACAGGATCAGTGCTAATAAAAGACTGGGGGTGGTTGAGCTTGACAGCTGCTTTCAAATCAGGATTGATTATCTATACTATGTCTGCTGATCAGGGCTTTCTTCCTGCAGACCGAAGCTCTTAGTGGGTGTCGGGAGTAGCAAGCTGTGTGGCACAGAATTAGGGTCTGTCATCTCCAGTGGGCTGTCCTTGTCCTACTGTGGCTCCTGAGAGACCACCTCAAAGGTTGCCAGAGGTGCTTGTCTGTTGCCCTGGAGTGGGAGCATTACATAGAGGAGAGAGACTTGAACCCCCTCATAGTTTTGTCTCACACCATTAGTAATGGGGAACAACGCCATCGAAATGTCATCAGTTCTAATGTGGCTGGCTCTATTAAATGCTAGAAATAATAACGGAAGAAATGTGAACCTCTCTTTGCTGCAGTGTGCATTGCTGAGGAAATGAAGAACGTCGCATTCAAAACCTCATTTCCCCTCTTAACTACAAGGTATTTCAGCATCAAAGTACTTTGTACCCAGACTTTCACCTTCTAAAAACTCATTCTGCAAAGCAAGCCAGCAGGGGGCGCTGCAACCCTTCCTAAAACTCATTTGGTTCTAACTGGAAGACAGTGACATCTGGATTATGAACCAAAGATGATCAAGCCTGATATTTATGACACTCCAGTTACAAACCTGAAAAGAGAAAGGTTTATGATGGTGTAATTTATATGCTTTCTTTAAGAGTCACATGAAGCTAGTTTGTGTAAGCAGTATGTTTGCCATGTAAAATATGTCCTCATTTAGTTTGGGGAAAATCACCTTGCAAAAGAAAGGATGAGCTGAGCTTTGGGAGCATTGATTTAACTTGATCCAAATTCACATGTCAGTTTAAGGTCATCTGAGCTATTAGGGGTCATAGGAACTTGGATGTGATTTCTCAGTGAATGTGGAAATAAGTAAGGGAGGTTGAAAGATGATTATGATAAATGAAGGGGGACATTTCATAGTTATTTCATAGTTCATAAATATCAAAATCTGATTGCAGCTCCAGTGAGGCCTTCAGAGAGAGCATACAATGAGCGGGACGTTAAAGGGAAGCAAGTGGCCTTAGCTGCAGGGGTGTAGCTGGTTTTCATCTAACTCCCTGGAATATAGGCCTGGCTTGAGGTCCCTGAGTTTGTGAAGATCTCTGTGCTCAAGAGGAATTTGATCCTGAAGTCTCTTCATTTCCAGCTGGGTCTTGGGCTTCTCTCGGAATTATGCATGGTAGACTGGAGTGGATGGTCACACCAGTAAACCCAGAATCTCTTCTCTTTACACAGCTCAAGGCCTCTCTGTTTGTATTGCTGCAACTGAGGCAGATGATGAAACAGGACTGAGCCCCTCACAGTGGGTTATGCCCTTCACCCATCTCCAGGGTGGTCTGCTAAGGGCTGGACTGGCACAATGATCGGCCACTCTTCTTCCATGATCCAGGCTGCTTTGATGATGCTACTGATAACCCCATGTTTTTCTCTCAGGCCATTTGATGACCAACATGGGGAAATACTTAGGCCATTGCCAAGGGACATGGAGGAAAAGACATTTTCAGGAACCACTCCGTATTGGAATGACAAAAAACAGTGGTGAGGAAACACAGACATTACCTTCCAGCTTGTTGAGTGTGCCTCATTCCTTATTCAAGTTTCTGGCCACAAAGATTTCCTGGGAAACATCACTGGCTAGTGCCTGTTTACTTAGTCCTGAGGCTATTTCTAGCACCTCCAATTCTTTCATATTAATGAGGAAAAAATTTTACTCCCCTGCTCTAGGAATTTCATTAGAAGTTGACTCTGCAAATAGTGAGGCTTGATTGGGAGTTTGAGTTGGGATTGCTAAATCATTATCAATACACGAATAAAAAAGGCAAGAATTCCATATGAGGTGTCACATGTGGCCTCCCTAATAGATGACCTATGAGTCTTTTTTCCTTGTGAAGAATGAAATGCTTTAAAGCTCATGAGTGTTTAGGAATTTGCCTCCCTCATGCTGGCTTCTCAGAAACTGAAGGGCTGCCAGTGGCCAGGTGGGGGATGACAGGAGGGGCTCCGGCTGCCTGAGACCCGCACCTGTGCCTTGGTCCTGACAGAGATTAGAACAGGACTCTGCCGGCGCGGCGGCCTGAGCCGGGCAGCACCACACATGCAAATGTGGGCAGATGTTGGAATGTTGAGAGTGGAGACAACACGGCTGTTCCTGTTTGATGGGGTGGGATTGATTAATGGGGGTGGGGACAATGCAAATTCAACAAGCCAAGTAGACTGCTGGCAGGAGAGCTGGTGTTTGAACACTTTTTGTAAAAACTTCATGGAGGTCTTTGAGAACCGGGTAAGTCCCCATGTGTCTGGAGGTTTAGTGGGAGGTCTTCCCATAAGGTTGGGCGTGGATTCGATGAACCCTCAAAGTCTTTTCAACATTCTGATTCTGTGGTCAAGATTAGACAGACACATGTGGCCACAAAGGAAAGAGAATGGGGATCTAATGGAAAGTTTTATGTTCTGTATCTTTAGTTCCTGCCTGTTTCCAAATGGAAGGTAATCTATTGTATGCTGTAAGCTTGATCCTGTTCTGTCTCTATTTCAAAAGCTCACTAGAATTGATTCTCTTCATCTTGGCCTTAGCATTCTACTTTAATGTAGAAACATTTATTCCAAATCCTTCTGACGGACCCAAAGCAAAGGGCTTGAGAGAACGCACTCTTCCAGTATACGCAGATGTGCTTTTTTGAAGTCATTCATTTAAACCCCTCGCCCCCAATTTCTTCAACAGAATTTGTTTTTTTTTCCTGTTAACATTTAAAACTTGTCCCAAAAGAAATAACAACCATCCAAAACAAACCGAAAATCCAACAAGTGTCTTACAGAAACTGTCTTTTTCTTTGTAGGTGCTTCTTGCTTGAAACAAGAGGATCCTGTGGTTTGATAAAATATGTTTTGAATACCCAAGGAGGGCTTTCTTTTGAAGGCGTATAAACTGCAGTCTCTCTTACAATCTGAATGTGCTCAGAGAATAAAGGTGAACTGCATTTGTTCCAAGTAAAATATACATCTGTATTATTCACCATCACACCCCTATTCCATTATAAACAAATACTGACCTTGTCCCTCTGATGTGAAGCCAGAGGGGGTGTGAAATATAGCAAGGAGAACAGTCTGATGCAAAAATGTGAACAGAAACAGAAACACAATATTTAAAAGGAGTAGAGAAGGTCCCAAGTCGGTTTCTCTAATTCCTATTCTGCTGCTGACCTTGGGGAAAGTAATGCAATAGTTATCAGTCACTTTGGGAAAATGGCCCACGTTATTTCAGATAGCCAGTTGGAAACCCCCTAACCCCCCCACCGCCCCCAGGACCTATTTCTTGGAAGACCCTATGTTTCTTTCTTTTGGCCTTTAGAACTTCTTTTGAGAACTTTTTTTTTGGGGGGTGAACTTTTGACTAAATACTAGAAACCAGTTTCCATTTGGACGCTAAGCAAAGTACCTCCTTTCATGCGACAGGGAGCTGCTCCTTTATCCGTGACTCTCAGCGCGGCGTCCCAGGAAAAGGCTTTGGAGTCCACTCGGCAAACATTGCGTTAGAAGAAAGAAGGGGGACAAAGTTGGGGAAGATCCCAAGATGTGGGATTTGAATGTTAAATGAAAACCACACCCAGTGTTCAGTGTTCCCTCGGGCAAGGTAAGGATAATAAGAGGAGCAAATTGCCGAAACCGGTTCGGCTCAGTGGATAGAGCGTCGGCCTGCGGACTGAAAGGTCCCAGGTTCGATTCCGGTCAAGGGCATGTACCTGGGTTGCGGGCACATCCCCAGTGGGAGATGTGCAGGAGGCAGCTGACCGATGTTTCTCTCTCATCGATGTTTCTAACTCTCTATCTCTCTCCTTTCCTCTGTAGAAACTCAATAAAATATATTTAAAAAAAAAAAAAAAAAAAAGAGGATCAAATGAGTTGAAACAGTTGTTTCTCCTCAATGTAATATATGTCTCCCTAAAAAATTGAGGCATTATAGAATTTCATGCAGTAAAAATGATGGGGCTTATGGGAAAAATAGATTGGGTGGAACATTCAACACTTGTATAATCTAGTAAGGAATACTCTTTTGGAAACCTAATAAAAGTTTTAAACATCTTAAATCCCTAATAAATTTTAAAAATACTATGGTACATAGAGCACTTCCTCTTGCAGAAAGCATGGCTCTTGCCTGGTGGAGCCCCAGAGTGAAACGTGGAGCTTCTGAGTTAATGGAGAAGAGAGGGAAGAAAGGAGAGAGCAGAACAGAGTCCTGGCACCACAGAGGCTGTGGTTTGTTGATCCTGTTTTCTTCCTGCATTAACATCAAATAGAAACTCAGCATTCCTTGTTCGTCATTTCCTCCTTTCCCTAAAGAGCTGTATGTATGGCTCCAAGAGAGATGGGAGGCCACAAAGTGCTGGCTGTCCTGCCTGGCACTGGAGGTCTTACTGTCAGTCCATGCAGGTGCCCTTGGGCCCAATTCCAGCAGATGATAGCTTTGGCGTTGACAGCAGTGTCTCCATTATCATCAGCACCATTTCTTGTAGTGTCCTCAGACTTGTTCCAGAGACTCTGCAGCCCTCACTGTTCCTCCTGCTAAACAGCTCTGAGGTATTTTTTTTTTAAATTTACCTTTATTATTGAGAGTATGACAGATATCTCCCATTTTTCCACCATTGCCCCCCTCTACCCAGTTCCCACACCACACTATTGTCAGTGTTCATGGGCTATGCATATATGCATATAGGCTCTTCAGTTAATCTCTACATACTCCCCCTCGCCCCCTTCCCTCTGAGAATCTTCAGTCTGTTGCATGCTTCCATGCCTCTGGACCTATTTTATTCGTTGGTTTATTTTGTTCATTAGATTCCACATATAAGTGAGATCATGTGATATTGGTCTGTCTCTGGCTGGCTTATTTCACTTAGCATATTGCTCTCCAGGTCCCTCCAAGCTGCCTCAAAAGGGAAGAGATTCTTCTTTTGTTGTTGTTAATCCTCACTGGAGCATATTTTTTCCTATTGATTTTTTAGAGAGAATGGAAGGGAGGGGGAGAGACAGAGAGAGAAACATCTATGTGAGAGAGACACATCAACTGGTTGCCTCCCACATGCACCCAAATGGGGATGGGGGTGGGGACTGAGCCTGCAACTGAGGTTCATGCCCTTGACTGGAATTGAATATAAGACCCTTCAGTCTGCAGGCCAATGCTCTAACCACTGAGCAAAACTGGCTAAGGCAAGATCCTTTTTCACAGCTGCAGAGTATTCTATTGTGTCAATGTATCAATTTTTTTTTTTAATCCACTCATCTACTGATGGGCACTTGGGCTGTTTCCAGATTTTGGCTATTGTAAATAGCACTACTATGAACATAGGGGTGCATATAGCCTTTCTGATTGGTGTTTCTGGTTTCTTGGGATATATTTTCCTAAAAGTGGGATCACTGGGTCAAATGACAATTCGGTCTTTAATTTTTTGAGAAAACTCCATACTGTTCTCCACAGTGGCTGCACCAGTCTACATTCCCACCAACAGTGCACACAAGTGCTGGTGAGGATGTGGAGAAAAGGGAACAGCTTTGAGTTTTGATGCATTGTCACTGATGGGCCTCTTGCTCTTATGATCTTACCAATTGTCTTTTTTCTTTTAATCTGTTTTATTGTTTTAATCTTCTCCAGATTTAAGGCTTTCCCTTTTCATTTGCTACTTGGATCCATCTACTCAGGATGCTTATTCATGCTTAAGATGTTGCAGTAGATTCTTTTAGGAAGAATATTGCATGAATTTGGGAGGAACTATTTGGGTCAAAGCATGTGGTCAAGTGGGAAAAGAGCGAGAAGATGAGGGGTGTGTGTTCGTGTTTCCCTCACAGCCACTTCATTGAACTGTTCGGCATATTTCAATTTACTCGGTGGTTCTCAGTGGTGTAAACCAGAGTTGCCTTGTGGAAAATTGTGTATGACCTACCACAGCTTTGTATCTTAGGGATTGTATTCCCTATTTTTCCACCTTGTATGAATAAACTGGCACATAACAGACAGCTTTGCAACTGGAAGAGAGTGTATAAGAAAAATGCTTACCAACATACCAGGCATATAATAAAGTAAATACTCAATAAATGTCAGATAAGTAAATAAGCAACACTTTTGAACTGATAGCTCAAACACGTCCAGTCGCATGCAGAGGTGTGCATGGTGAGATTAGTGAAGACAATCAGACAAACCCCTGTGGAATGACGTGTGGGTAGTGCATGCGCACCCTGGCTCAGAGCTTCAGCTTTGTCACCTGTGAGCAGTATAATTGCAAGCAGACCACTTCACATTTTTGACACTCAGGCTCACATCTGAAAAATGGAGACATGAAAGTCCGCCTTTCCTCTGTACCTGCTTCAGGGAAACCTACCTGTGAATTCTAAATGAGAAAGTGAATGGGAAGGCTCTGAAACTCTGAATTGCTGTGAAAATGTACAGCTGTAATGCAGGGATTGAGCTAAGAGACCACAATGCAGGAAGGGGAACATTGATTGCAGGTGTATAAAGGGCATTTTTCTTCTTCTCATAGGCCTGTCCATTTTGTTTTCTCATTCCCATCTCAATGGGATAGCTGATCACATACCCTCCATAATTTGATAGATGTCTTGGAATTTCTGCGTGCACATATTCCTTTTTGCTGTGTCAGAAATGTGAAGGGGAAGCCTCTACGCTATGGCCTACTTCAAGCCAAGTCAGGGCGGAGATGGGGACACACTATAAGCTGCACTGCTCATCCCAAATCCCTTCCCTGTGAGCAGTGCCTGACATTCTCCCTCAAGTGTTATTTATTTAAAATATTGTTATTGATTTAAGAGAGGGAGAGAGAGATAGAAACATCAATGATGAGAGAGAATTACTGATTGGCTGCCTCCTGTGCACCTCCACTGGGGATCGAGCCCACAACCCAGGCATGTGCCCTGAACAGTAATCGAACCGTGACCTCCTGGTTCATAGGTCGACGCTCAACCACTGAGCCATGCTGGCTGGGCCATCAAGTGTTATTTATATACTAGAGGCCCGGTGCACAAAATTCTTGCATGGGCAAGGTCCCTAGGCCTGGACAGCGATCAGGGCCGATCTGTGGGGAGGTTGGTGGGGCAATCTGGGGGGCTCCTGCTGGCACCCGCCTTGGCTGGCCTGGGGCCTGCGGGCTGGGGGCAGCTCCTGTGTTGAGCGTCTGCCCCCTGGTGGTCAGTGTGCATTATAGCTACCCATCGTTCTGCCATTTGGTTGATTTGCATATTAGGCTTTTCTTAAATAAAATTGTTTTAAAGTTGGGCAGAAATGATGCTAAGGTGGTGGTAAAGGCAATGCAGTTTCCACATTGCTGTCTGGAACACTCACACTGCAGTGAGTGAGAACTCCACTGTTCCCAGGCCAGCATGCTGTGAGGAAGCCCCAGCCTCAGAGCAAGGCCATCAGGGTGCTCTGGCTCAGTCCCAGCTGAGCTCCCATTCCAGTCACTCTACCCTGGAGCTAGGCACATGAAAGATGATTCCTTCCCTAGCTGTCAAGTCATCTTCAGCCTTTGCGTTTTCCCACTGAGCCCCAAAAATAAGCCTTCCTGCTGTGCCCTGTTTTAAAAAAATCTTAAAAAATGATTTTTAGATATACTCATTCAGGGAAAACTAAGATGGCGGCATAGATAAACACTGGGAAATTGCTGCCTCCCACAACAATTGAAAAATCTTCTAGGAACACAAAACGGACATCATCCGGAACTACAGAAAGGCTGGCTGAGTGTAAATTCTACAACTAGAAGGAAAGAATAGCACACTGAGAGCCAGAGGAGCTGCAGAAGTAAAGTGCAGAGGTACGGGGGCTCGCGCACGAGCGGAAAGGGGCTGGCACCTAAGGCTGGCACCTAAGGAATCCAGAGGGAGTCACAAGCTCCCGACGGCTCTGAACTCCGGTTCCGGGAAGTCTCTGGGGACCCAGGACTCATACGGGGAGAAACTGGACTGTCTGGCAGCGGGCAAACTTGAGGGCGGCTTTCCCTCAGAGGTGCTTGCAGCCGTTACCGGGACACTGAGACTCGCGACTCCTTAGGGCAGGGCTAAGGATCAGCCATAGCTGCTTGCTCCGCCCTTTGATTCCTTGAGACCCCGCCCCACTCAGCCTGCGGCAGAGGCTTTTGCATATGAATGCCCCGGCCCTTTGCAACCTGATAATTACCTAACTGCAGCCGGGCCAGACAGACCCAGAACTTCCAAGAGAAGGCCCAAGGCCCCACAGCGGCTTGCATTGTTTCACAGCTGAACCTCATCAGGGCACCTCCAAACTCCAAAAAAGGAAGGGGAATCTGCAGTTCTCTTCGTAGCTCCTGCTGTGTAACCTCAGGCAGAGGCTAAATTAGCACCTCCTTAGATCCAAGAGCCACTGTACCCAGTGGTCAGAGGGGGACCATCCAGATCACAACTCCTCAGATCCATAAGGGACACACTCAGGGTGCAGTCTCAGTGAGCACAAGCCCCACTGAAGCAAGTCTTGCCCCAGAAGGGTGTCTCCAGCACAGAAGTTCTCCCACTGCAGACACAGCCGATTCTCACTGCCAATTGGCCTGGAGGTCAATTCCTCCCAGTGATCCTACAACAACCAAGGTATAACTACAACAAGACTGTGCACAAAGCCCACAAGGGGGTGCACCAAGAGTGTCCACCTCAGGTAACTGGGGAGGCTGAGACACTCGGCCCTACAGGACACCTAGCACACAAAGCTACTCTATCAACACAGGGAAGCAGCCAAAATACGGAGACAAAGAAACAGGTCACAAATGGCAGAAATGGAGGAAAGCAAACAACTGGATATAGAGTTCAAGGCCACGTTTATAAGGTTTTTCAAGAATTTTATGGAAACCGCCGATAAATTTAGTGAGTCCCTCAATAAGTATAGTGAGACCCTGGAGGACATGAAAAAGGACCAACTAGAAATTAAGCATACACTGACTGAAATAAAGAATAATTTACAGAGATCCAACAGCAGACAAGAGGATCCCAAGAATCAAGTCAAAGATTTGAAATACAAAGAAACAAAAAATACCCAACTGAAAAAGAAAAAAGAAAAGAGATTCCAAAAATATGAAGATAGTGTAAGGAGCCTCTGGGACAACTTCAAGCGTACCAACATCAGAATTATAGGGGTACCAGAAGAAGAGAGAGGGCAAGATATTGAAAACCTATTTGAAGAAATAATGACAGAAAACTTCCCCTACCTGGTGAAAGAAATAGACTTACAAGTTCAGGAAGTGCAGAGAACCCCAAACAAAAGGAATCCAAAGAGGATCACACCAAGACACATCATAATTAAAATGCCAAGAGCAAAAGATAAAGAGAGAATCTTAAAAGCAGCAAGAGAAAGAAAGTCAGTTACCTACAAGGGAGTACCCATATGACTGTCAGCTGATTTATCAACAGAAACCATGCAGGCTAGAAGAGAGTGGCAAGAAATATTCAAAGTGATGAATAGCAAGAACCTGCAACTAAGATTACTTTATCCAGCAAAGCTATCATTCAGAATAGAAGGTCAGATAAAGAGCTTCACGGATAAGAAAAAGCTAAAGGAGTTCATCACCACCAAACCAGCATTATATGAAATGCTGAAAGGTATTCTTTAAGAAGAGGAAGAAGAAAAAGGAACTCTTACCATTTGCCACAGCATGGATGGAACTGGAGAGCGGATAAATACCACATGATCTCACTCATTTGTGGAATATAATGAACAACATAAACTGATGAACAAGGACTGATCCAGAGACGGAGAGGCATTGATTGGACTGTCGGGCCTTGGAGGGAAGGTAGGGGAGGGTGGGGGTAAGGGGGAAAGATCAACCAAAGGACTTACATGCAAGCATATAGGCCTAACCAATGGACACGGACAACGGGGGGGGGGGGTGAGGGCATGAGGGGGGGGGTAGAGGGTAACGTGGGGACAAGGACACATATGT